GCTGTTGCCTTCATTGAAAAACTGGATGCTCAGTCTTTAAATCTAAGCCAAGAAGATTTTGATCGTTTTATGACTGGTCAGACATCCCCAAAGAAGCAAGAATCTGACAGTTTTTCGCCTGACGTGTGCCTGGGTGTTAAGCAAATGTATAAAAACTTAGACCTACTGTCTCAGCTGAATGAGAGACAGGAAAGAATTGTCAATGAAGCCAAGAAGCTTGAGAAAGACCTAATAGATTGGACTGATGGAATTACAAAGGAAGTCCAAGATATTGTTGAGAAATATCCATTAGACATAAAACCAAAAAGTCAAGCCTTAGCAGCTATTGACTCTGAAAATGTGGAGAATGACAAGCTGCCCCCACCACTGCAGCCTCAGGTTTATGCAGGATAATTGTAAGTGTTAACTCTGAAAAGCATCAGTATCCTCACCTAGTACTATCTGCTACTGGGGAAGGAAAATAAATTTAAGGCTAAAAATCAGATGAGCTTAAATCAGTACATTTTTTTAAAGGTACATTTTTTGGTTAAGTGTATTGTTAATTGTATTTATTTCAGTCAAGTAGATTTCTATTAGGCTTTTGTGGGTTTTTGAACTGAATTTAAATTTTCTACACAAACCGGTGTAATTTTTAAGCAACACTAGACCCTTGACATCTTTCCTGAAAGCTTCCTTCTAGGCATGCACTTACTTGTTTTTAATAATTAGTTTAACTTAAAGAATTCGAGTTCCAGCAGAAACTCGAAAGTTACCCATGTTAGACTGAATTTATTCTGTAGCTGTAAAGATGAAATATATATTGTAAAATATGTAAAATTGTAAATAGATTTAAAAATCTAATGTCTCAACTGTGCATGACATCTTGTCTACGAGTGAAAATGATATAAAAGTATTCATTTAGCACCTTTCAGTTAAATCCCGTGGCAGTATAAAGGCAAGGACACTGTTAATGTTTGAGTAAGCTGGGTGGTATGGGTGGTATAGCTGATGAATTACAGGCAGAGGAGATGTTGTAATGATTTGAAAACTTGAATTCATATTGAAATCTGCTCTGTAAAAAAAAAAAAAAAAAGTGCTATTTAATACATGACATTTCTTCATGTAAACGTTCTCTCTGGTTTGTCAGTACACCTGAGAGCCTTCGGTGGTGCACGTAAGGGCTGGTATTAACTATTTTCAAAGAGAATGTTCAGCCAAGCTTCAAAAAGGAAGGAAATATTTTTATTAAAAATTGCATAATGTGGAACAAAAAGGGGGCGGGGAGGAGAGAGTGTAAGAGCTGCACCAAAAGTGGCTTTCTTTTTCTGGCATTGCCTGGTAATTTCTATCAGTGGGTGAGGTCTTTGTTGCTTTTTTGACAATCCTGGTAGATAAATAAGCTCATATAATTAGAGGCTGCTTTTTAGAAGAAGCACGGGCCATTGCTCTGAGCAGAAAAGTGCACTTGATTTTCATGAAACATCAGTCTTCTGATCTTCAGTGACCCCCCCTTTAGCAAAGGGAGTTACCTTGCTAAAGGACTGAACATCAGGTGAAGGTGAATTTATGTCACTAGAAGTTTAATGGGTGTACTTCAAGTTAAGAATAATAGCTCACTCCAAAAAAGTAACCTCTTGCAATATAACTTTTTTATGCCAGCGAAACATTTTATATATCATTTTAAACATCTTCCAGTTAACCCAGTCAGCCGTGACTTGTTTGTGTACCTGAGATATCTAACATAAAGCCGCTTAGCTTGAACTACTCTTAAGCAATGCTAAATTCTTACCATCAAGGAGGAAGGTACCTACCTCTTAAATTATGTTCCACTGCTTTAAAAACACTGCTCTTTTAAATTTGCACTGCAATAATTTCAGACCACGACTGTGATTTGTCCCTCTTTGTCAAATGTATTCAGCCTTATGAACTATGCATTCCTAGTGTTTTGCAGAGAACCAGTGGCCCAAAGCTCCACTGCTGAGGTGAAGCAATGACCTAAGCGGATGATCACAAGAAATTAGATTATTTAATGTATCCATGTGTCACTGCGCCCAAGTTGCTTAGGATCTGACCAGTGCTTGCAGTAAATAATACTGTAAAGTCTTTATTTTCTTTACAAACACTAGGTGCTACTTCTGATATCCAGGTACACAGGTTTTCCGGGGGCGTGGGAGTGCAAACTTTGAGCTATTGTGTAAATTCCAATGTTTAAATAAAAGTGTGTACATCATGCCCTTGTTAATGAGTTCCTAAAAATCTCTTCCCTGGGTTTTGTTATGCTGTTAATGATTAATGTGAATATAATTGGGTCTGCTTCTGCATTCTCTGTGTTTTGGAAGGCACAGTTGGTAGCCATTCATGTGTAAGTCCAGGTAACAATATCTTTTCTTTTTTTTGCAGAAAGATCGTTGTAGTGATTAAGTACTTAAGAACGACTTGATGGTGTATTTGTAACTAAAGTATCTCTAATTTATATGCTGTCTTGTTATCAAGGCACTAAAGTGGGAGCCTTTTCAGTAAACGCATCCTTTGAGTGCCCGGGGAGGCACGTAGGGATGGTTTCCTACCCCAGCTAAAGGTTGGCAGCAAATGCCCAGTCTGTAGGTGAAGCAGGTAAATGTTTGGTGTTTTTTTTTCTTGCGTAAACGTAAGGTAGTTCAGTTGCTCCAGTTATAACCACAGAGTATCTTTCCAGCGTGGAAAAATTCAGGCTGGGCAAGGCATGGTGCACAGCGTGAGGTGATGAACCCTCCCGTGAGTGGAACCAGATCGGGCCAAGGTCCTGGGCATGTCTGGTCCCAGAGGTAAGTTTGGGGTGAGATACAGTGAGAGAGGCCAGGGATGCAGAAAAGGATGAAATAGTATCTATGAACAAGTTGCTTGTGAATCAGAGAGTTTAATGTAAATATGGGATTGGAACCCAGGCTGCTGTGCTCTGGTGACAGTCACAGCATCAGAAATTCTTTGGGTTTTTTTTCAGCAGCCCGCTGTTGGATCAGTATTATTGAAAATGAACACCCCGCAGCTCATTACTAAGAATCAGATCTTAAGCTGTAAACTACTTCTTGGCATGTGAACTCCCCATTCATTTTACTGTAGCAAGGAACCTATTTTACAGGGATTACTGGTTAATAAAACTGTACAACATCTTTGCTTTCATATAACTGAATTGTGAAATTAAATTGATTCTTCTACCCAGTTATCATCAATGTTTGCTAATTCTCCAGTGTATGTTCTCTTGGGGCTGGGTATCTCATGCCCAAGGGAGAGAGGCAGAGATAGATCCAGCTGAACTACTTAATGGCAATTTGAAAAAAGGGGTTAAAATGATTGAGGGCAGAGGCAGCGGTGTTCCATCTGATACAGAACAACTTCGCTTTATCGACAGCCACCATCCTTTTATCGGAGATTTGTGTGGAAGTTGTGTATATGTTGGTTTGGGGTGTTTTTTTATCAACGCAAGGCTTGGCAGATGTGCACTGGCAGTACTGCCACCTGCTTTCCAAAAGACATGGTCAAAAAGAGAGTCTAACTAACGGAGAGAGTCTGACTAACTTTAACGGAATGACAATCATTCCGTTCTGTCCTTGGACCCCTCATTTCATCACCATTTCAGTGGTTCCCAGTGACAGGACGAGGAGCAATGGGCACAAGCTGGAACATGGGAAGTTCCACTCAAATATGGGGAAGAACTTCTTTCTGGTGAGGGTGGCAGAGCCCTGGAAGAGGCTGCCCAGGGAGGGTGTGGAGTCCCCTTCTCTGGAGATCTTCAAGCCTTGCCTGGATGCTGTCCTGAGTGATGTGCTCTGGGCAACCCTGCTTTGGCAGGGGGTTTGGGCTAGATGATCTCTAGAGGTCCCTTCCAACTCTGATGATTCCATGATCTTTGAAGACAGGGTGATTTCTGACCTTCAGGGAAACACTGTAGTTTTATCTGTCTGATGGATTTCATCTTGAAAGCTCTTAGGTGTTCACAGAATTGTCTGGGGTGGACGGGACCTTCCAGATCATGGAGTCATATCACTAACCTGGCACTGCCAAAACCACCACTATCCCATGTCCCTGGGCACCACCTCTGCCCCTCTGAAATACTTCCAGGGATGGTGACTCCACCACTTCCCTGGGCAGCCTGTCCCAAGGCTTGATAACCCTTTCTGTGAAGAATTTTTTCCTAATATCCATCCTAAATCTCTCCTGGTGCAACTTGAGGCCCTTTCCTCTTGTCCCATCGCCTTTTCCTTGGGAGAAGAGACCGTCCCCCCGGGCTGCACCCTCCTTTCAGGGGGTTGCAGAGAGCAATAAGGTCTCCCCTCAGCCTCCTTTTCTCCAGGCTGAACACCCCCAGCTCCCTCAGCCTCTCCTCACAAGACTTATGCTCCCTCCCCAGCTCCATTGCCCTTCTCTGGACCCGCTCCAGCCCCTCAGTGTCCCTCCTCTCGTGAGGAGCCCCAAAAACCGGACGCCGTGTTCGAGGTGGGGCCTCACCAGCGCCGAGCACAGGGGGGCGACCACCGCGGCGGCCCCGCTGGCCACACTGTTCCCTTCTCTGGGATGGCTTCTAACGGGGAGGGGGGCGATGGCGGCGGCGGGGGCTCCGCCCGGGCCGCGCGTTGCCGGCGCCGCCGCGAAGTTTGTCCCCCCCGCGCCACCG